CCCCCCCGTACCACGCGATCCAGCTGCTGCTGCTTCTCTGTCTGCAGCTCCGGGTTGTCCTCTTGCCCCTCGTACACCGCCAGCGCCTGCTTCAGGGCCACCACCACGAACGCCGTGAGCGAGACGCCCCCCTGGTGCCCCCCGACGCCGCCCTGGGGGGAGAGAATGGGGGTGAGCGTGCGAGGCACACGTGCAAGGGACGCCCTGCGGGCACCAGCCGACACTGGTAGCGGTGAGTTCCACAGGTGCACGGCCTGGTGCCTCAGTGGTATCACCTGCCCCCCACTCCCCTGGGGCTTGGGGGTCAATGGGGGGTGGGAGCCAAGTGCAGGAGTCAGGGCACAGATCTAAGTGTGAAAACCGGAGTGTGCCAGGCAGGGAGGGGCATGGGCCAACCCGAGTGCAGGCTGTGAGCGTGAAGGGGACCACATCTAGACACGCCTGGTGAGGGTGCAAATCTGAGCACGCATGGCTGGAGGGGGCGCACCGCTTAGTGCCAGGGGCAGGATACAATGGTGAATGTGCCACTGGGAATGTGCCCGTTGGGGCGCGGGGTGTGTGTACAAACCCGCCTGTGCACGGCGTGAGTGTGCAAATCTGAGCACACCAGCCCTGCGTGGCGGGGGGAGCCGAGGGGCACGTCTGGGCGTGCAAGATCTGAGGGGAGCGAGGCGTGCGAACGCAGGCCAAGCTCAGGGTGTGAGCGGAGCATGAGTCTGGTGCAGCTGTGAGCGTGCGGCCTGCTGGGTTAGCGTGCAAATGGGAGTGTAAATACTTGTGCAAATTGTGGGCTGTGTGTTGGTGTGACTCCAGCTGGGCTCTGAGCCTAGGTCAAACCCGTGTGTGCAAAAAGAGCACTGGGGGCTTTGCACACCAGGGCTGTGAGTGTGCATGGGCAAGATTGCACCTGCATGTGCCATTGGGCAAGTGTGAGTTTGCAACATGACAGTGAGTGTGCGAGAGAGCCTGTGTGTGACAGGAGGTACCTAGTCCAATCCCCTGCTCAAAGCAGGACCAATCCCCAGACAGATTTTTGCCCCAGATCCCTAAGTGGCCCCCTCAAGGATTGAACTCACAACCCTGGGTTTAGCAGGCCAATGCCCAAACCACTGAGCTATCCAGCTTTGAGTCAAAGGTCAAACCAGCAGTATTAACATTTAGGGAGACACTGGCGGGAAATCGTGTCATTGTCTCTGTGTCTCTTTGAAGGTTGTGGTGACCTGGATCTGAACTGTTTCATGGATAAATGACCCTGTGCTAATTGCCAGGATGTTTGGGAGAAGGAGAATTAAGTCTATTGTTTTCTCAGGCCAAGCAGCTGCTGGAAATGTATAAAAACCCTGGGACACGATCCTGCTTCATCTCAGATCTGCTTTGGGTTTCAAGAGGGGGAAACCTTAAGCCACAAGGATTGAGATCCCCAGTCATTGACTGGAGTCACCCTGAATATGGACATTGGACTATAACTTCTGGACTATTTCTAAAAGGACTTTTGGCAATGACAAGCTCACCTCTGCTGTGTCTGAACCTCAAGAACTGAATTCAAGTCTGTCTGTATATTGATCTTTTAACCAACACTCTCTCGCTTTTCTTTTTTCATAAATGTTAGTTTAGTTAATAAGAATTGGCTGTAGTGTGTATTTTGGGTAAGATCTGAGTTATCATTGGACCTGGGTGTGTGGCTGATCCTTTGGGGTTGGAAGAACCTTTTCTTGTATCTGATGAGATCAGATTTTCAGAATTTATCCTCACCTGTTTAACGTGTGTCTGGCCGGAGGCCGGGGACTCGACGGGCCCGGCGCGGTTTGGCGGCTGAGTGACCGGGGCGGTGACACGGGGGCTGGTGGGTAAATCTCAGCACTGGAGGATCCACCAGCGTTGGGGGTTTGTCTGCCCCGGTCTGTTTGCAGTTCACCCTGATTGAGTGACCTCAGCTGGCTCCCACGGGCAGCACCGTCACAGTGGCATGTGGCATGGCCCCTGTGCATTGTGAATGTGCAGGGGCACCTGCGTGACTCCGTGGCAAGTATGTGAGGGCAAGTTGTGCAATGCACCAGCTAGTGTGCAAGGGGGATAGTGCATGCAGGAGCATTTGTAAATGTGCAACATCTGTAGGTGAGCGTGTAACATGGGTGACCGTGTGATGTGGAGTGACTATGCAAGTGTGCACATGAATGTGCAAGGCAATAGCAAGTGTGCAAGGCAGCAGGGTGTGAGGATGAGGGTGCAGATGAAAGTGAGCATGCAAAATTGGGGATCGGGTGTGCAAGGCCCAGAGTGTGAATGTGAGTGTGAGGCAGTAGTGTGTGTGAACATGCAAATGTGTTTGTGCAAGGTCATTGTGTGAGGGGATTGTGCAGGCAACAGCGAGTGTGCGAGGGGAGTGTGCAGGCAGCAGGGAGCGTGCAAGGGGAGTGTGCGGGCAGTGAGCGTGCAAGGGGAGTGTGCAGACAGAAGTGAGCGTGCAAGGGCAGTGTGCAGACAGCAGCGAGCGTGCGAGGGCGTAGGGGCACGTGCAATCTCACCTGCATGTCCCGGTGGATGACGGGCTGCGGGTCGCGGAAGGAGCCGTCGGCCTGTTGCTTCCCCAGCAGCCATGTCACCGACTCTCGAATCCCGGCATTGTCCACGGCCTGGTACTGCCGGCTGAGTGCCAGGACCTTCACCACGAACGCCGTCAGCCTGGAGGGGGCTGGGGTCAGGGGGGGCCGACTCACGGACCCCGGCCGTGGCCCTCGGAGGGGATCCCCCAGAGCCCCCAGCCGCCTCCCGGCCCTTCCCTGGGGAGCTGATCCCCCCCAGAGCCCCCTCACAGCCCCCCCACGACGCCTCCCGACCCTTCCCTGGGGAGTAGGATCCCCCCAGAGCCCCCAGCCC